TGCCAAACGTTACAAGCGTGATTTATGTATACTATATAAAGAAAATATTTGAAAATCCGTTTAAATTGCCATCTTTTTTCAGGTCGAATGTAATTTGTTATTGTAAGTGTTTAATTAAGTCAATCGTTTCGGCATATGTCCTTCAATTTATTGTATCCCTCGGTAGTTTATTTTGTAATGTTATCCTCGGTTATAAACGATCTGAATGCAACTTGCTAATTTTTGAAATTGTTAGGGTTCGGATTAAACTTTGTAACGTTTAAATTTAATTTTGTCATTCTTAAAGGCGGTCAAACAAAGTTGCTTTATAATAAAGCAAAGGACCATTTTGAGCCAACTTTACTTTTTGAAATAGGAAAGTTTCACATGGAAATCGTTTAAATATTACTTTGTGTTTTGAATATGCGATATATATATCTTGCAGATAATATATGACATTTATATAAACTTCATTTGAGAGAGACGGATTTTATTTTAAAAAATAAAAACGGCACATGTCATGTATAGCTTTATCATTATTGGATGAAAGGTTGAGGAAAATTCAATTTATAATTCGCGTTATCATAAAATCAACTTGGATAGTGCAACCTTGTTAAACGACCTAGGCCTTATACATCAAAGAAGTGTTGACTTATTTAAATTATACTTGGCAATCCAAAATTTATATTGGAGTGGAGGTATAAACCGCACTACTTATCAATAATCAGAAATCGTTCAAATGAAGTCATCCTTTGCAAATCTTTTTGTCAAATAATATACTAGTTATATCGGATTAACATCTGTTAAAATTCCGAATTTAGAAGAGTCACTATTTTTTTCTCGGATACTTGAGCATATTTCGGACAGTGTGGATTTCGGTTGATTGTAAACCTTCCAACGCGTATTGATCTTCATGCCAGAGGTTTAGAAAACTAAACAAAGAGCAGGAACGAGGCTTTTATGTTAATATAAAACTTTTCAATGCTAACTATTTAAATGTTTAATAAGGCAGCATTTTATTGAATAGTGCGATGATGTGTTTGAGGGTGCAAGAAGTAAAACAAAAACAATAGACAAAAATAATTCGCACATGACATGCATTTTTAAAAGAAAAAAAAATCGGTAAAAAAGTGGAAAATGTGAAGTAAATAAAAGGACTAATCCGCAAAAATGAAGTTAATGTGATGTTCTCAACTTCTAAAATGAAAATATAGAAAATTGAACTTAGCAGACGATATTTATCTAGTATGCATTTCGGACGTTCGGATACGTATATTAACGTTTATCTTCCACGTGAAGATGGCGACGATCCCCGGAGGTATGCACGACCAAGCTCTCCGGTGCACTGCTCGGGTGAGATTTACAAATTCAGTGATGAAATCGTTAAAGACAGGAAACTTTTTCTTGGTAAGAAACAAATGTCGCTATATGAAATATATTACAAAGATAATAAAGAATGCGACGATAATTCAATCGATTTAAGTGACACATCTGACTACGAGGAAGAAAATGATGGCTTTGATATAAGGAAAAGGAACGTGAACTACAGTAAAGATAAGAACACGGACCATTTTGAATTTCCGCGAGTTTCTAAGTTGAGTATATCTCTTGACAATAGACTTAGACGTGCACAAAGATCAAATATGTCACGATTTAATGAACCGGTACAGTCGTATGGCAAACAGAAACAGTCTGCGAATACTGGTTATGATCCCAATCAAAGCCTTGAGAGACAGGTGACGTCATATGACTATATGCGTATTGCAAATCGACGTAACGTGACTAGTGAAAGCATAAGGAATAGACAAAAAACACAAACTATTTCGAAAATATTCAAAAAAGCTCATTCTGCAACGTCTGATTATCGGCACTTGAGAAGTTTGGGACTGCCGCCAATAAGCCGCTCGAACACGACACTTACCTCACTATTGCCAGATATAAATCCGGGACGTTCACGTGCACCGACCGCGTCTAGGGTGCGGCCATTAAGACCGAGTTCAAAACCTCATAGAATTTGGCAGCAGACGAACAATGTCTTAATGAATGGGTTTGAATCCAGCACTGCCATGGAGCCGGGAATCAAACAACTGAAACTGGCTTCCTCAAGATCTAGACATAATGTTAATACAGCGAGTGACATTTTCGTGTGATACAAAAATGAGGGAATTTATGTGCGACAAAGAAAACTTATCTGAAATTTATTCTGTTTAATTAATAATATTAATAATTTGTAGCCACGTTACTTAAAAAACTTGATTTTTTTCAGACGATTTCATTTGTTTGACTTTCCTTAAGCTACATGTATGCGTGGTTATTTTAGTTATTTACGACAAGAAGACCTGAATAGAATAGCTACTGGTTAGAAATTCGTCTGTAAATATTTATACGGAAAGCACATAAGTATATACAAAGTTGAAAGGGTTGTTTATATTAAAATGTGTGTAACATAATTTGAATCGAATAGAAATATTTACTTTATATAACCAAATGGTAACAATTAGAGTCAGTCTTATTCAGTAAACAAAACGTCGACAAACTGTTTTTTGAAGAATGTTTATGAACATGTAAAAAGATACATGCACCATTGTGCATATTGTGTTGGTTCCAAAGAATGAAAATCAAGGGAAAGAATATTTAACAGCAATGTGTATTCCTCTTATATTGTTAAAAATATTAAAATTATTTTTAAAATCTTTAACTTACTTCATTAGAAGCAGGCGGTTTCTTTATAAAAATGTGTTGTTTCTTAAATTATTGAATATTTTGTTATTATATCTTATTATGCTATTTATTATTATTAAACGTCTAACGTACGTTATTAACCAAAAAACATATATAACTTGTTTTGACTTCTTTTGGATAGACTGGTCAGACACAATATGAAAGTTGCTGGAAACAAACCATGCATAAAAGAATAACAACAGCAACAACAAAACAACAACATCCTTTTAAAAACGCAGCGTACATTAAGCTGTTTGTTGTAACATCACTTGGTGGATTTTGTTTTCGTATTCAATATTGCCATAAATCATTCAAACCTGCGCACGCACATCCGAACACGTGCATTTTTTTGTCGTTTCATGTGGCACATTGTTTGAATATATCGGCCATAATTTGTCTACTTCATATACACTAAAGACCAAATAGCTTACAACGTGTTTTTGCGGCTATAGTCGCGTTTGAGTGATGTGAAAAGGTATAAGAATCACTAAAAATATATCAGTAAGGAAATGAACAAAATGTGGAAATACCAAGAATGATTGGCCTATACAAAGACAGTACTGATAAAAAGCAAGTATCCTGAACACCTTCACAACAGGATTGTCGGATGAAACAATAGCAAGTCACTAAGTTTCTTTTTCACCAGCATTTGCATATAGTATTAGCATAGCATAGTAAATTATTATCATAACTTTCGCGTAGCAATAGCATTAGCATAAACTAAAAATTAGCATAAACATAGCATTGGCATAAGCATAAACTGACCATTAGCATAAACAAAGCATAGCATGGGCAAAGCATTGGCATGACATTAGCATAGGCATTAGCATAGCATGGCATATGTATATGGCAAGACACGGCAAAACATAACATGTGAAAAGAACACTGTCAAATAGGCGGTCAGAAAATACTTTTTATTAATAACATATGTTAATAAAACGTTGTTTTTAACTTGTATTCAACAGCTTATTTACATTCGTTCGTATACATTCAAAAATGAATTCAACCCTATTTGTATGTTATCGTGCGTTTTTAATAATAATTGTAATTATAATGTCGATAAATCCATATCAAATATCAAAAAGCCTTTTATATAGATACTTGTAAAAGAAATATCTTTTAAATTGATATAAAAACTTGGATTATATTGTAAGGCGATACAATGATTATCACATTAAAGTTTTGTAAAAACAGACCTTAAACTTGTATCGATAGGTCAACGTATGGAGAAAAACTTTACAATTTTTGTTTATAATATCTCCAGGAGTCCTCTTTATCAAAATATGAATGCCAAATATTAAGCTTTGTTTAGATGACAAACTACTGTAGCTAAAGTATTGAAATATATTTTGCACATATTCATTAAAGAAGCATTAAAAAAAGAAAGAAAACCGCTCATTTATTTATCAGTATTTAAACATTTATTAAATAAATGTTCTAGTTTAAGTCAACAGCTCAAAAATAGTTCGTTTAAAAAAATTCAGAGATGTCTCATGCAGGGAAATACATGTATTTTTATATTTTATAAGGACAGTAAAAAAAACAAAAAAAAAACAACAACAACAACAAAAAACAAAACAAAACAAAAAACAAGCAATCGTAAAGTACAAAAAAAATGTATCAACTCGTTTTTCTTAAATTTCTTTCATAAGTTCGGCGCAAGACCGGGACCACTGCTCTAAATGTTCGAAACAAGTCGAGTGATTTAAGTCGTGGAGGATCGAACTGACGATGACTGATTGATTCTGTAATCTGACAGCGTAACCAATAGACAACCCTCCAGGTCCTAAGATAATAAGTTAAGTAAGAGTGAAAACATGTTATAAAATAGCTTTCAAATGTTACAATATCAAACCAATTTTTCGTTAAAAGCATTGTATGCAATTAAAAATATGACAATAAAATAATAATGATATTAATAGCAACAAAAATATAACAACAACAACAGCAGCAGAACTCTGAAGTCAGAACAACAGGATCCTGCTTCAGCTCTAAATGACATATATTATTTATGTCTTCACATAGGCCTAAAATCATATTTGTACTTGTACATCGATATGCTTTACTAAGATATTTAAAGTGCAGAATTTTATAACTTCAACACTTATCTTAAACAAATTCAAATTTATTGGCAAGAACCGAAGATAAAGTCATTCGTTCAATGACTATGTGAATCTATTGAACATACTCTATTGTTTTAGTTATATTCTTTTTCTAATGTTATCTTACTAATTCAATCGCGTTTATACGATCTGTCACGGCACAATTAACCAAAAAAAATATATTGAATGTTAACTCCAAAATCTTCACAAGATCCGGATGGCGGTTATTCAATTTTAGGTGTCTTAATTTTTAAATTATGAATTAAATCATGTAGCGATTTAACCGTGGAATATCTGTTAATTTTGATGTTGAAACTCTGAGCCTATTTGATTATTATTTAGCAATGGAATTAGAATAAAAAAATGAAGCAGAAAATCAATCTTCTTTGCATACTGGGATAAACATAACAAAAAATGTAAGCTGTAGTAACAAAGTGGTGCGTTTTCTAAATCGTGTTTAAAATCAATATTCGATAAAAAAATGGCTATAGATACGGAAATAACACCGATTCAAAGTTTCGAAATAACACCTGAAACTTTGGAATTTACTACTGGTGCGGATACAAGAAATATCGGAATCAAACATTTTTTATGTCTCCGACGAACGCTTCCGAAAACACGCCTTTCTCAGGCGATCTTGTACGAAAATGTCAGTTACAGACGACAACTTTCCATGAAAATGGAATCAATGCAGAAGGACAGAGTCAGGAACGCTCAGGTGCTTGAATCTAACATGCGAGCGTTCAGACAAGCTCAGAAACGGAAACAGCAAAAATGGAAGCGAGTAGACGAAATTCGACTTTCCAACATGAACTTACCTACTGTTCACCTAAAGAGCGAGGAAGAACGCCCTAAAAGTTGTAAAATAATGTACAGGATGTCAGAGTTTAAGCCTGAAGGAGAAAAACAAGAGGTTCAACAACCGGTTCTTCCGAAAATGAATTTGACTGTTCGGCGTGAACAAACTGAAATTATAACTCATAGGGAAAAAACTTTTATGACACGATTCCCTGAAATAATTAATATCGATCAGGCCCTTCTGGATAGACATAACAACTATTGCGGGAAACATCTGTTGGAGGAGGGTGGGTCGGGTCAAGATGGACGCTTCAGCAGATTTGTTGGCGCATTATCGCCCGCCAAAGTCGATCCAGATGACTATCCGGTTGAAAACCTGAAATCTTATAGTCGTCTGCATAAGTATGATCCTTCCAAGGACGACAGGCAGACTCCGCGATCTGCAAGAATTGTACCCAAATCTCACCAGCAGAATCTGAAAGATGAAGTTGAAAAGAGATTCGAAGCTATTAAATCTCGCGATAACACGTTTTACGAAGACGAGAATGAGCCCTCTACAGATCGATCGAAGTTAGGGACATCGAGACAGACCGGCCGATTTCAGAAAAGAGGCGAGTATATACTAGAAACATACAAAACTGATGACGTAATTTATCTTTCTAAACATAGACTGCAAGAGCAAGAGGGGATTCCGGAAGCCCCAGAAGAAAGTGAAAGTGATAAGGAATAACTAATGAAAAATAACTAATTTCTTTAGGTAAAAAAGATATCTAATGTGCCGGGATATGTGTAGTTTTTAACAGTGTCCATGCTTTTTGTGTTAGTTTTCCTGCAGCATATTTTGGTGTTGGAGCGTGCGCGCGCTTTTTATCGTCTGCTGACTGAACTGTGACCAGCTTTTCTATCTGCATTAAAGCTTCTGCTTCTGGATTGACATATTTAAGTGGTGTCGGTGTTGATTTTATAAGATTTCAGTTTTTGACATTGAATATCACCAAGAAAACTTATTTCGTCATTTTTACATTTATAGGTACGTAAAATGTAAAGTCGTCTGCAGTATTACTATGAAGCGGGTAAAAACAGAGCCTAACTAGTGCTGTTGCTTTGAAGGGAACTCTACTGTAGAGCCGAACATTTCAAAATGGACCGCGTGTGACTTATTTTAAAGGATGTTGACCAACTACGGAAAACAATGTGCAACGGAGATGGTCTGAAAAGATGTGACCAAAAAAATACAAGAAATGCTAGTAAACAAAATCACGCCAGTGTTAAGTCATGTGTCAGTAACTGTAAATAATGGCATTTGAATCCTCGCAATTTTCTTCTTGTTTCGCTTTATTTATTTTATCACTTGATGATTCAGACGAAGATTTTTATAATTGCAAATAAATGCATTTTAGTTTCGTTCGATTTGCAATTTCTATACTCAGTTTTATGAAGAAATTACTTAACATAAGAGAAAATATTTTGTTAATGAAGAGTAATTATTCGAAAACAAAATTCTGCCAACACATGTAGCTTTTGATATGATATTTTATAGTGAAAGTATAAAGTGATGTCCTATTTTTGTTAAGAAAATATAAATAAATGTTTAAAACGCATATTTGTGGTTTTAATGCTATGGATGATATTGGTTAAATTGCACATACGGCTGCCATTATAATTATGAATGCTTGATAAAATATAACAACGGAAATAGCTGTCAAAGAAAGACAACTTTAGTGGATTCAAATTGGATAGAATAATAGAGTTACACGACTTGTTTCAAGAACATCGGCAAATCTCGTTACAGTGCTTAAAAAAACATTTTTTATGTTTTGGTCGATACACTTGTACCAATTATAGCAGAAGATGGAGAACACAAACACGAGATATAGAGAACTATGTACGTACACGTAGTTTACTTCATCTGAACTTGAAAAACAATCAATAATTATTCAGTCTAATTTTATGTTAAGTAAATTTTATAAAATTTTATATGTTGGACCACTGGCTTTAATAAAAATCTGTGGTTGGACGATATAGAAAATATATCCTCAGTAACCCGAGCGCGTACTCGTTACACTTCATTGGCAATGAATGTAGTTCAGCTGGGTTCCGACGATGATAAAAAAGGAATTGCCTCTGGTGGCTGATTTGTGCCATGTCGCATTTTCGATCCGCGGGCGCCATACGAAAACAGCGGAGCGAAAATACGACATGGCATAAATCAACCACCATACTTGACAGTAATTATTGATAACTAATCCTGCACTAAGTGTCTAAATACGACGCACTTGTTTTGGTTAAATAGATTTTTTTGTTTATTTGTTTGTTTGTTTTATTATTTTTGATGTCAAGCGGGTATAAAGCCAACAAGTGTATTTAAAAAATACTTTTACTTAAGAACGTTAGAAATTAATTTCAATGTTTATAAGCTAAAGAAAGGTATTTAAATATGCAAAAACAAAATGTGACGCAAAAATAATTACGTCATAAAATCATTGAAGAATTCTGGATCATGTAACATGTCGAGCGGGTATAAAGAAAATCAACGTATAATTAAAATTATTGTTTTTGATTGAGCCCATAAGAAATTAATTTCTATATAAATAAACAATTGAGGGATTTTTTTAAATCAAACTAAACAAATAAAGTACGTCATGAAATCATTGAAGTATTCAGGATCATATAACATGAAAAGTATCTAAGTATTCAATTGCAAGTTAATTTGATTAGAGATAACAGTCCTTTGTTTTATTACAACTTGATCCACTGATTTTGAATGACTTTATGCAGACGATAATCGAAAATAGATATGTTAAACTGGATCGCCATAAGTAACTTATACAAATGTCATTATGTTTTAAGAAAAATCACTCGAAGAATATACAAGAAAGGAATTAACATTATTTTATGCAATATGTTTCCTCCAAAAGGAAATATTTTTTCGTTTAAGAACGATTTTTTAGATTAGAAAGAATGAGGACCATCGATGTTATTTATTTTGCGACATTAATCGTCGGCTGCGGATCACTTACACGGTACATTTCTCATATTCAAAATTTTGTAAATCTTGTATCTGCCTACAATCTGGATGGCTATAGTACCATTGATTTCCCACCGCTAGCAGACGTTAGTCAAGCAATGGTTGTCAATATAGACATGCATCTTTACGCAGTGAACGGGTTTGATGAAGTTGCTGGAAATATTGAGCTCGTGGTTGCCTTGGAAATGACCTGGTTGGACGAAATGTCTATTATACAATCTATTGCGTTCAAGATAGAAGACAGGGCGGAATTTCTTGTCCCATACGACATGATTTGGACACCGAAAATCGTTTTAACAAATGCAATAGGGGCAACAAGTGACGTTGGAGATAGTGCATACCTTTGTCGTTTTGACATGGCCTCGAAGAGAATCCTTTGGAAACCAAGAGTGGTAGTTAGTGGTTCTTGTACGCCTGATGTAACATTTTATCCGTTTGATAAACAAGAATGTGATTTTATATACACAGCATGGGGTTTTAAGTCAGATGAAATACTGCTCGAAACAAGCTCTGATAGTTGGAATTTAGCAGAGTATGGTTTATCTGGGGAGTGGGATATATCTTCTACAAGTACAACAGCTTATATTCAAAATGAACAATCTTACATTAAATTTACTATAGTTATGTTGAGGAAACCGTTATATTTTGCTTTTAACATTCTATTGCCAATATTGGTTCTTTGCCTTCTGAATTCGACGGTGTTTTTGTTACCTGCGGAATCTGGAGAGAGGGTTGGATTCTCCGTAACATGTTTCCTCTCATTCATGGTTTTACTGAACATGATAATGGATATTATGCCTCGAAGTTCAAACCCTATCTCTTTTATATGTTACTATCTAGTGGTTATGATGTCAAATAGTGGGGCAATGACACTGGTTACCATTCTATTAATGCGAGTGTATCATAAACCCGAGAAAAGCGAGGTACCAAGGTGGATGCAACGAGCAGTGACATTCGTCAATTGCGGTTGTGCTAAACTTCGCTGTTGTGTTCTATGCTGTAGGTACCTTAGAAAAAAATGTTGTTGTGAAGACCAACGAAAGTGCGGATGTCAGCGAAAGAAGAAATCTAGGAGTGAAGAGTCATTGGTAGAGATTACTGTTGATAAGGATAAAAACATTATAGAAAAACCTGCCAAGAAAGATATTAACGATTCACATGATGAAGGTGCTGATAAAACAAAGAAATGTTGTATTCTTTCGTGTGTCAAAAGGCCTCGAAATTCAATTAGTAAGTGTTGCTGTGGAATCGTTGTCGGTTGTAAAAGATGCAACTCAACTGATCAACAGACCGATTTTAAGGACACGACATCATGCGGAGACTCTAAATCATCATCATGCCTGGACTGCTTTAAAAACAGAAAAAGAAAACTGGAAAATAACAAGAAAAATGTGAAATGCGACGAGGATGATTCTCCGTGTAATAAAAAGCTCAAGCCAGATGGAAATAAAACTGGACAAAGTAATACAAAATGTTTTGGATTCTTCCAAAGATCGCACGGAAGTGAGTATAATGAAACATCTGAATTAAAAGATAACGCTGAAAGAGAAAGCAAAGTTGACAAAGAAGATGGATCTGAACCTGAAAATGAAAAACATCCGGGTTGCTTTGGAATTAAGAAAAAAGAAAAAGGAACCGAAAACAAACCTGGGGTATCTTCACATGGATGTTTTCCATGTTGCAACGGGACTACATCCGAGAAGAATGCATTAGAAGAAGTTGAAAAGGGAAAGGAAAAGGAAGATTCATTACAACCCGAAGGTATAGAAACAACACGAGGTTGTCACAATGCTAACTGTTTTACATTCATGCGGAAGCGAAAGGTTTCTACCGTTCCTGATATAGAGGCTGATATTGTTAATGACATTTTACCTGTTTCAGTACGAAGTGAGGAAAGTAAGACACTAAAGGTATCCTTCAAAGGCAAAGAAAACTTAGACGACGAGGAAACCTTATTGCAGAGATGGGAGGACGCGACACAAAGTACAACAAATAAGAAAGGAAACTCATTGAATCCCATAAGCAAAGAGGATAAGAATAGTGTCGGTGAAACAAAAGTTGAAATTTTACACGACAGTGACGAATCCGAATTTACTGTTAAAACAAAGTCTATACGAGCTTCAAATCTGCAAAATGAAGCCAAAGCTAAAGCAAATACTGAAACAAAACGTCTCGAAGATGAAGATGCTGATCTTGAATTGGAAATTGTAAAAAAGAAAATATCTCTCAGAAATTCAATGAAAGAAAAGAAAGAAAAATTACCAAAACCCGTCGTGCACGAGAAAGTTAATATTTCGCAAAAGCGAAAGCAAAGTGTCACGTCGAAGAAAAGCAATGTAATAGAAGACGATTCTGAAGAAAGTGACATCGACTCTCTTGCTGATCTTGAAGAAGAGGTTTCGTGGCCAGAAGTTGGGAGGATTCTTGATACATTCTTTTTCCTTGCTTTCTCGGGTGGGCAAGCATTTTTGACGGTCGTTTTCCTTGTACCATTATTTACTGGTGACACAAAAAGTAGCGAATCGTAACAATTATCTTCGTCATTGAAATGGGAAAAACTTTTTATCTTATCGTAAGTCAAATGAGTCATATGCAATGTGTGCTGAATACAGCAGTAAATAAAAAAGAAAAGGAGTATATTTACGACTCACGAGTTTGCAACTTGAAAAAAGGGAGAGAAAAAACTCTACTCAATAATTTACATTTTTGTAGTTTCAAAATGTTAAAGCATTTGGATTTTATCATAGCTTGTTAAATTTATAAGAATAAACCTTATTGCTTCTTTGTTATACTTCATCAATACTGCAAATGAATTTATAAACTTTGAACGATAATTAGTTACTACTATAACTGTAGGCACAATCGATTAAGGCGTAAAGGCGTAGAGTTAGATTATGTCTACGGTCATTTCTACATCATCATCATAATCATCATATCATCGTCGTCGTCGTCGTTGTTGTTGTTGTGGCTGTCGTCGTCGTCATCATCATCTCATCATTATCATCGTCATCAACAACAACAACAAAAACAACAACATCAGGACCATCGTCTTCGTCGTCGGCTTCATTACTTTTTTATTGTTATTGCTGTGAATATTCATTAATATATACTATTGTTTTTTGTTGTTTTGTTTGTTGTTTTTTCTTAAATCATTCTTTTTCTTATTAGAATCGCAAACTTGAAAATAACTACCAATTATATATTTAATTGTTACACATGAAAACAGTGTTAAAATGTACTTTCAATAACGCACAAAGTGTACTAGCAATTGCAACTTTCCGGCTCTTTCCGTCAGTCTTCGGGTAAGGACTTGATAATAGCCGAGTTATGCCGATTGTCTTAATAGCACATATTTTCAGTACAAAAAATACAAACATTTGAAATCTAAACCAAAGTAGCGTTAAAAAATGAAAGGACTATCTTGCTAATAGATCATTTAATTTTATAAATTACGATATTAAAATTCGCGTTTTCTGATAAGCATATTGTTAATATGTATCTGATATACGGATCAAACAGTTTATGTCATTACTGATTTATTTCTTATACACTCGGACTTAGAAGCAATTTTGACTAGTTCTTAAAATCTTATAAGTCATCACTGTATATACTGACCTCTTATCACATCTGAAATTAAGGTTACAATCTTTAAGTTCGTAAATAACGTCTAAAATTTCAAATCTTATCAGCGAAATACCAGTTATATTTTTTAAACATTCTTTTCAATACAGTATCAAGGCCTAAATTTACAAAGGCATCCAATTAAAGCTAGTTTCTCGAAGCTAAATCAAGAACGAAATAATGTACATTCAGATCTGCAAGTAGATGTTAAAATTAAAAAATAAATAAATAAGTAAATAAATAAATAAATTAATTAATTAATTATTTAATTAAAAATAAATGAATAAATATGTGATAAAAACCGTACGTCTGTAGACAGGGAATTCTTAGCAACACATTTTTTCGTGGCTGAATACATATGTAAAGTACTTAGAAAAAAGGGTTGAAAAGTAAATACAAAATGAAAACAAAGTCAATGTTCAAACACATCATAATTATCAATAAATGTATAAAACCTCTGAAAACCGGAATCCTCTGAAAACCGGACTTTTGGTTAAGTCCCGACAGGGTCCATTTAAGTGTTTTTACTGTATAATTATGTTGTTTTTTTTTCTGGTTTTTTTTCCATTTCTTTTCTAAAGGCATATTTTCCTTCAATTTACGAGCTCTTACACATGGTTTATTTTATCAATAAATAATTGTATCGTTTGATTATTTACAAACAAAACTCGCGAATATGTTTTCATTTTTGTTTTTTACAATAATCGGAACAAACGAATGCTTGATTAGTCCGCTTGCTGTATGTGATGTGCTGCTTTAAAATTAATTATCTTGTCAATGTCATAAAGGCAGTTTGTAAATGTAATTCAGGTATTACGTAGTAAACTGTTTTATTGAAAACAATTTTGAAGACTTTGAAAAAGTAACACAAGTAAAGAACATGGATCAATTCAAAACAAAATTAAACTGTCAATATCTTTAATTGCGTGGAACGTTTTATAATGAGGATTGGCAAATAATCATGTTTTTTTCATTTTTAAATTGGCATTTTATACAAATAAAACTGCAGATTCACAGTCGATAATTCTGATTAAAAATGTTTAATCACGTGGCAGTATCAGGACTTCAGGCTCAGTTGAGTGTCTAGTTTATTTCTAAGGCAGAATTCACAAGATACATACCGGCTATTTAAGTGAAAACATTTTCTATAGATGGCCTCTTTCATGCTATGTAGCATAACCAGTTTATACTTGGTGTTTGTTCCGGGTATATTAGTATCATCACAGATAACATTGTTATCGGACTTGGACGATGAGTTTGCTAATTTAATTGATGCCTATTTCGACAAACAGGCAGTTGTTCCGGTGGATACGGTCGGATCGACCATAGCAGTTACTATTGACTTTGATTTAGTTTCTGTCGTCGGTTTTGAAGACGATACCGGAAGTGCAATTATATCTGGATATCTAACAGTTAAATGGACGGAAGAACGGTTCACAATTGTCGCAGACGACATAGATGTCAGCGTGTCGGCGTCTTCTATATGGACACCACCTTTGTTAATAGTGAACTCCTTGTCGTCTGCTGCTATTGTAGGATCAGACGATGACGTAGTAAAGTTTAATCTGAATACAGCTCAAGTAATTTGGAAACCGCAAATTTATACCAAAGTCACGTGTGATTCAAACGCTTTCTTTCCATTTGATAAGCAGGAGTGTTCGATCCAAATATCTTCCCTGAATTTGGTAGATACGGAAATGACAGTCGCAGTTACACAAAGCACTATAGGAACAACGCTTTATGTAGGTAATAGCTTATGGGAACTTAAAGGATCGTCTGCAACAAGTTATAGTGTGCAATCACATCCGTACGCAGATTTCAAATTAACACTCCAGAGGAAAGCTCAGTATATGACTTTAATTATTGTTGCAACCACTGTTGTGACCAGTATGGTGCATTTGTTTGTATTATTACTCCCACAAGACACCGAGAGAGTAAATTACAGTATTACAAGCATGCTGGGCGTTCTAGTTGTGTTATTATGGGTCATCTCGTACGTTCCTTCAAATGCAAGACCGGTGTCCATTATTGTCTATTATCAATTCTCAGAGTTTCTACTCAATGTCGTTGTTATGGTGATAGCTCTTGATATCTTTAAAGTATCCACCTGCAGAACCGATTCGTGTTTCGGAAATCTCGTTCCCGTGAAAAAGGCTAAAGTAAGTTCAGAAAAGGATGACGTAATTAGACCGGAAATGACTCAAAGCACAGCTACAGCACGAGATGTCCGTGTTTCATCGATAACCTCGGCCTGGGATGACGACGAAGTATTCGAAGAGCCCACAAACGAGACAGACAAAACGGATCGTTCTAAACAAATCATACCGCCAAAATACATGTTTTTACTATTCACGAGTTTGCATATTTTATTCACAATTGCATTTTTCGTATCTCTTGGAATAAATCTGGAGTAGTGTCAAAGTGATACTTTAAAACGTTCCTGATAAAGTTTGTACAATCATGTGACTTGGTGATATATTTGTGATTCGAAAATATTTGTTTGCTTTACATGCCACTTACTTGTAGAAGGTTTCAAACGGCATCTTTTGTTTTGATTGGAATATTTACAATGCAGGCAGCAGCTGAATCGACCAATGCAACCAGTGCAGACCAATATCATCCGGGACATCCGTGCTGTGTGATCATAGTCTGCACTGTCGGCTATTTAAGTCAGTACATTTTTCGAAATTTTTCCTAAAAATAAAATGGTTTTGTTAACACTGAAAGATGGACAGGTCTACTTAAAACAAGCTAATTATATGAGCCGTGTCATGACAAAACCAACATAGTGCGTTTGCGACCAGCATGGATCCAGACCAGCCTGCGCATCCGCGCAGTCTGATCAGGATCCATGCTGTTCGCTTACAAACCCTATTACAAGAAGTGAAACTGATAGCGAACAGCATGGATCCTGATCAGACTGCGCGGATGCGCAGGCTGGTCTTGATCCATGCTGGTCGCAAACGCATTATGTTGGTTTTGTCGTATGTACCCACGGCGTGTTTTAATATCATAACTATTATTATTTTTATTATTATTGCTGTTACTGCTTTTGTTCCTATGTCTTTGTTAAAATTTTCTTACGTTTCTATTTTTGCGTTGTGTGTTTTTATTTGTTTGGGTCGTCAGACCAAACAAATAATGGTAGCGAAATTTCAGAGTCTAATGTTCTTAATTGCAAATGCCGAAAGTAGTCCACTTTTTTGAAGCGGTTACTTCCCTTTTGTATGTACACTAAAGCCGAAAAATTCAGGGGAGATCACTGCGTAAAGATGGTCAAAGACAGGCGCATCAATTTTCAAGCAAAGTAATTCCCGAATGGTCGAAGATTTCTAATATTGTTTTCTGGTATTTTCTGATCGAAAATAACTAAATACAAAGCGGACATTCAATCTCTGACACAGAAGTTTATGACAAACCTAACAACAAGTAGTTCTCAAAACAGCTTAAAACTAGCGATTTAAAAGAAAGAAATATTTTATTTTGTTACAAGTATCCAACAAATTACAACGCATTTAAAGTTAAACAATAGCGTTGGCTTATAGAATTGTCAATAAATGCACAATCACAAATTACGCGGATGAATATGATTTTATCAATGAAAATACTATTTTTAGCCATGTAGATTACCGAATACTACACAAACCGAGTAGTGGAATATATAGATTCTACATGTCGGACTGTTTGGGCGAGAGGATTTTCGCTAAAATATTTACTTCAATTTTAAACAACAGGTTTACCCTGAACAAAATACCTCGAAATTAATAAGGATTACAAACCTGAATGCAATGGAAGTTCTAAATTTAGAATGACTTGATATTATTCAGACATACTGTGTATAACTTCTCCGCGGTACAGTGGTAACGCGCTCGCTTAGTGAGAGAGAGGTCTCGAGTTCGAATCCCAGTCGAGGAAATTTTTTTTTGGTTAAATTCTTTTTTAATTGTTTTTGTTAAGGAAGTAGCCATGATTTACAAGGATAAAGTGTGGCTGTCGTAAAAAAAGTACATAAATGATTTTTTGATGCAACTCTAGTTATGCAGAATTCCGTATGTGCCTTACAAAATGAATTATAATACATAAAAATAAACTTATACAGGAAAATGCATACAGATATACAGTACGATTTAGATTGCAAAGATCAGAAAATACCAAAGAACATGAAGCCCTTTGATTCTTTATAAATATACATGCTTATAGTAAGCTTCAGGATTATTTACATCTGTGTTAAACAACAGTTAAAAGTCGTTACAAGCCCTAATTTAGAATAATATGGTTTTCTTCAGGCCGTTCACATATAAATTTAACCGTGGCTGAAGGGTTTTCGGGCTCGCTTAGTCTGGAGTTCAAATCCCAGTAAAGGTAACTTATTTTTTTAAATTGTTAAAGTCAAATAAACATTGGATTGAATATCAGTGTTGCAATTAGTCTTATAGCCAATTTACTACAATTAAAACGCTGGAAAGCATTGGTGGCACTAAACATATAATCTCACAACCTGCACCTTTCTTACATTCTGAGACCCAAACAAATTCAGCGCCTTCTGTGCTTTGATTTTTATATTTTTATTGTTGTTGTTTTTGTTATTTCTTTGTTGATGTTGTTGTTGTTTTTTTTATTATTTTATTTTGTATGTGTTTTTAGTGATCATTACATCGAAGCATTTCTACTAGCAATTTGTATCTATGATAGATTCGTGAATACTTTCCCACTTTTTAGAAAAAAATAGATCTAAATATTATCAGCTTTTGTCATTTACAAGTATTAGACTTCATTAGGTATGGAACAAAGCAATCAGCTGATAATCATTCCAGACCGCTGGGTATTGGTACGCGTTTAACTTTTGAGGCATGGAGGAGCACGTGACCTGTTTTCGGTACATGGAGGAGCATGTGATCTGGAAACCGTACATGATTGGTTAATTGACCTTTTCGAAAACCTAGCTAAATACCGTTTGCCGGTACGTTACGGATTTACCTGTAGGGAATTAGTCCGAATTACAGCTTATCAAGAACAAAAAACTATTACGTGATATTTCTAATTTTCTATAAATATTTTACCGTTTAACGTGGAAAATTTAAATAAAGGAGTGTTTGAAAATTATCAATATTTCTTTAATATGTATCTCAAATTTTACAAACAATGAATTGTTTATACTGAAAATTTACAGAATTAAAATATTCGTAGGGGCATCTGCCATAATAAATAGAGATATTTTCTGCGTAAACTTGTGTGTTTACTTTATTAAAATTTTGCTCGGAATTATTCATAAAATGGTAGGCCTATTTAATCATTTTCTTAAAAAGAAATAATTGTTTTATGTTCGACCTTCTCCGGTCTTCAACGGTCACCAGTTTCCAAAGTCCTTCTTCTATATTCAATTGTCAACTATATTCCTGATACAAACGTTTATTTATCCCCGCCCCCCCCAAAAAAAAAAATCTTGAAAATAGTTAAATGTCATTAAAATGTTCACCGCAGGAAACCATTTTACTTGTAACATAAAGGGTGTAGTTAAATACATTTTGTAGTCTATAATATTTTCATAAAGGGAGACAACTTCAAATTATAACGAGAAAAAAAGATTTTCCAGTATAATGTCCCTTTTGGTTGAAAAATGATGGATCATATTATACTTTACGTGTTTCGTTTCTATATTTCTAAATTAGGTGGACGATAACAATTTACTGTTCTTTTACAGATAAAAAATTTCTATCTTCCTTTTTTAATCCAGTCTTTTTTAATCCAGTCTCTTGACAACAGATAGGAATGTATAAATCACATTATTTTTGAGCAATATATATGTGTTGTGTTATTTTGTATTTGACTTCTAGTTTACATTAAATTGTGCTTTGGTACTTGGAATACTTTAGAACGGATGTAATTATTGTGTCTGTAAATAAGACATGAATTAGAAAATGAGAAAGAAGCAAATGATATACATATGCCATGTAATATAGTCAGGATGTTTTTTTTTATGTTTTTGTTTGTTTTGGTATTTTTTTTTTTTAATTTCTAGATTTCAATGGAAACAAATCATTGAGATTATTATCATAAAATTTCTTAACTCAAATTAAATCACACAGAATAAGTGTGAATCTATTTTTCTATTTTGCTGTAACACAAAAATATATTTGTTTTAACACTTAAAGATCTGTTAAACTTGGTAATTTCTTGATCACTCTTGAAAAATGAAACATTCAATTAAGAAAAAAAAACACTAAATTCTATTGTTTTGTTATCGTCTTATTAGTACTGATGGAAAATGATATGCAATAAACCTATTTATATGCTTGAAAATTGGTATTAGTTAATTTCCCCTCACTTGTTTTCCTAAACATCTGATACCCATCCTTTATACAGTAGAACCGGACTTGTTGACGGGATAAATTGTCCGCTCTCGTTTTGTCGCAATAATTTACCCATATAGCATTGAATTTTAACCGAGGCCAGTAAAAATCAATAATCTTATTCTCCTGTTTTGGCCCTCCAATGTCTCCATAGTTTTGTCGTCGAAATGTTTAGTCATTGCGACAAAATAGCTGGAAATATGGCCAATTTACAGGGCAGACTTTTTACCAGATAGATGATACTTCACCTCAAGTCCGTGCTGATTCTTAGAGTTAGGGTTGCCATTGTTTATTGCATAATACGATGTATAAACGTTGTTACATACCTCTTGCACTGCTTAAGATATATGAGGATCATATGGTCAAATGATTATTTGGATGAAAAGTCTTGCAGAAAAATGTAAAGTTGTGCTCTCTCAATCATTTTGGTCCCGTGAAGATTGAAAGTATAGAAATGTAAAATGTAAAAAAAAAATGGAATATTTAAATGTGTGATTGTAGGCTATACTTTGTTAATACATGTATTCAATGGGCTGGTAATTTTACCAAATTTAATTGTAATTATGCCCATATAAAAATTAAGAACACAATCAATTGTGATATTTTTATTCCAGTTGAATAAAGTTCTTTCCTATCGTCTGTAAACATTCTTTTGATAAAAATAATATCAAAAAAACATTCCGAGCATATCAAAGCTGTTCGCCACCGTGATCTCAAATTGTCATGTCAAAAGATCTACAAAAAAACAGTAGCTCCATCAAAACTGTGCAAAAATATTTCTATCTTTCCTGCAAAAGAATGATATGCAAAACCATCTCGTAAGAAACCATCAAATCATTTTACCCACAGTTCAGCCGATTCAATTATTACCTCACCAGGTACAATGTGCCAGGATAGGTCTCCAGCGTAAGTCTTTCGTTCGTCGGTTACCTTTCTTTTCACATTCCATGCCGTGCACAAGATACGTACATTATGGCCTTAGCCCAGATTCATGTGTCACTCATTTTGTATGTACTTACTGATACAGGAAAAATCTTAAGAACCTTCTTGTAAGCTTAAAAATTCTTTCTGTTTGAAACCATATTTGGTATTCATTGTTTAGTGGTTACATTCTAGGGGGTGTTTGAATTGTGCCCCTTTGTTCAAAATTGGCTCCAGGAATGGGAAAATTACTTGACAATTGTGTACTGTATACAAAACCACCAGTGACAAAACTTATCAAATTGTTTTTGTTTGAAACATCATGGTCTTAAAAATAAGACTTAAATAATTATATGGCATCAAGCTTTAACTAGTGGAAATATTTGTACTGGTGTAAAAAAATGGCTCAGTATTGGGATCTGACTTATACAGGACAGAAAGCTAAGACTTGGTCAGTTGGCAGACTAGCCCATAACATACACGTACACGTATAAGCTAAAATACCTCTACATAGTTATATAAGAATTTGTATTACCCATTTACATCATTCCTACAATACAATCAAGTTTTGACCTACTAACATTAACATTGATGTTTTTATCAGTACTTTTACAGTACATATATATGCATAAGCAGATAAAACGCCGAGCGTCATAAATAATTGATAAATCTGTGTCATAAAGCACACCAACTTTTGTAACCTTCATTGTCTAATCAAGATGTAAAATGTTTTTGTCCCATTTTTTATCGTCCCATTAATACATCATATATTTAAACACTGACCTTCATTAATCATAATATAACCTACCTTTATAAGTGAGTTGAATCTCGATTACAAATTTGCAATGGATATAAGTTTTATTCTAGTCTTTCTTGGTGTTTTTCTCTTATCTTTTATACTGGTGTCAAAAAAGAAAGAAAATCTCCCGCCAGGATATTACGGGTTTCCGGTTATAGGATCATGGAACTTGTTGCGAAAACTTCCGGGCAGAAGACCACATTTGGTGTTTTACGAAGAGTCGAAACGTTTCGGCAATATATTCCGATTTTATCTTGGTCAGCAGTTAGTTGTAGTTCTCTCAGGTTTTGATATCATCAATGAAGCTCTTGTAAAGAAGGCAGAGGTGTTCAGTGACAGACTTAAGGGTACAAATGCCTTACTTCCGAAATCAGACGACGAAGCAGGTAAATTTCCATATTGAATCTTCTCATGTGCAATCGATCGTAAAAAATCGGGCATGTCCGTTATTCACCGTAGGTAATATTTACTAAGAATGCAATGGGTTTTCAAGTTTTGAAACATGCTTCTCCTTATCATATTACCACTTTTTCAATTTCTATTTGACGCGTAAAAGATGCGGAATATGTCGACTTTTCACGAACTACATGCCTAGATACCTTCACTTACGCAAGAAATTGCTTACTTCTGCATATGCCAGAGGTACCGTTCGAATGATCGTAAGAAGGATTTCATGATCAATCACAACAAAAGTGACCTGCTTTAATCTTAAAGCGAGATTGTCATAAACATTGCCTTAATGAATGGACATATTCAAAATTTTAAAATAACATACAAACCAACTTTACTGGAGAAAATACGGACTGGCATTATAAACTTTTCATGACCCGGTAGCCAATTTGTCAAATTTGCAATTGAACTAAGTGTAAACAACTACACGTCCCGTCCCTTGATAATGGTTCTACTTTTTAAATCATGTGTACACAGTTAGATCTAGTAAAACAACAACAATTTTGAGGGCATATCAATATGTTGAATGTCACATCTTGATTCAGGTGTGATATTTTGTCGATATAACTCAGCATGGAGGGAGGCTCGACGATTTTCACTTCAAGCCCTTCGAGATTTCGGCGTCGGTAAAACGTCAATCGAGGAACGCATCATAATTGAGACCGAAGCTGTAACGTCAAAACTGACGTCAATAAATGGAAAGCCGACGGCAATTGACGGACTGATGCAGAAGCTCGTGGGCAATGTCATTTACAGTATCATATTTGGTAAAAGGTATTTATTGAAAATAACGATAAATCTTTTTGTTGTTAGTTATTACTACATTTTAAAGTTTCCAACTTTTCAACATGTAACACTGGGACAGTAGGCCTATAGGATGCGGTACAGCCTGGCTCTTTTCAATTGACAGTGGCTAATTACGTTTGGTTCCAGTGGTTTAAGGACTGATATTTTATATCAAAAACAAGTATGATAAAACATGGCTATCATACCCCCCCCAACTGGTTTGCTAAAGGGAATTCTCTTTCAAAAAAATGGAATAAATGTATGATTGTGACACAGAGAAAAATAAAAGCATGACATTAAATGTTTAACTTGGCAAATGATTAAGGAATAGAAACTCACATAACTGAAATTTGGTTTATTGTACATGTACTTTGTAGATAATTAGAGGTAATATTTTAATGCAAGTTCATGCGTCTTGTTGTAATAAAAAGTCATGAGCATGCATAAGACACAAGTTGACGATTTTATTATTTAAAACTTACCAGATTTTTTCCTAAACAGTTGATAAATGTTTTAAAATATATTTAGATTAGATAATCTTAAAAGATAAATCAGGCCGTAGTTGAAAAAGATATGACAAAATATTATGTGTAAAGTTATTTATATCGTCATTATCTTCGTCAGGTACGAATACGATGACCCCAACTCTGATAAAGTCAGGAATATGTCAAATGTACTAGTATCAGGACCAGGACCGCTAACTCCGTCAAACTATATGCCAAAGTTCATCAGTAGATTCTTGAATAAACAGGTAATTTACCGACTGAAGATTCAACCATTAACAGAATTGATTAAAAATGAAAAAAAAGTATTTGGAATAAAGTATTGTATAATAATGTGTGAAATAAAACCAACATAGAAGTTGGTTTTTCTTTCTGTTTATGTACATGTATTTATGCACTTCCGTTGAGTATCTCTGCAACGCCCTCCTGAAAAATCTAGTTTTTTCTGTTGTTTTTGTATGTTTTTCGGAAGTGGCAAGTACAGCAGCTGTCCCGTTCCTGAGGCTACCCTGCATCGTTGACATACTTGGTAAAGAGACAAATATTTTTTTGTTATTGGTGGAGCAGATGATTAAACGTGCGATCCCTCTATTACTATCAATGTCTTAACTGCATCACTAGCTTTTATAATTCGTTACGATTGACAAACGCCACAAAAAAACAACTTGGAAAATTTTAAAACTTCGTTACCAATACATTTTACTGGCCCTGTATTAACGATTTTTGTGCTATATATGACCCTTATATACATGATGGTAATGTTATATTGACTTAAAACCATTTATAAAAAAGTAGGGAATATAAGAATTTAAAATACTGCAAACAACCTTAAATTCAAAATAGCCTACGTTTCTCATCTTGTTCGCAAAACAAGATTTTAAATTTGCAAGAAAATATGTTCAATTTAAAACTCAGGGTGTGGAGTTAGAAGTGAAGCGAACAGCTTCTGTTAAAGCTATAAGGAAGTATATATATGAGCTAATAGATGAACACGAGGCTACGTTCGATGAGGACAACATCCGTGATTTTGTAGATCTCTATATAAAAACGTCACGACTCAAAGATGAGAGCGTTAAGAAAATCATAACAAGTAAGTAAAGTAGTTACATATGTATACACCATTTCACACCGGCCTACGCAATTCTACAGTGTCCCGTCGTCCCAATGTCATGTTGTCCCGCTGTCATTTGGACACATTTCAACCTTCATCTATTTCTTTCATTTCAAATTTTTATGGTCTGTGCCATGTATATGGAAAGTTTTAAATATTTTACGTATTTTCGAAGGTAGTGTTAGATCCATCCAAAAACTTACCATTAGTTCTTTAGAATAAAAGGTGAAAAGCATAATTTAAGAACTATGACCTTTAGTCCCACTGGAAGTACTATCATAAATTGCATATGAAGTATTAAGTAACAAGACTTTGTGATTCTAAATAATTACTGTAACGTTATAGACAGGACTGATTTTGAGAATTTGGTCCCTATAAAGATGCTAGAGGCATTTTTGAAGTACCAAAGGTGGTATCTTGGTTTATTTTACCTATTTAAGGTATGCTGAATCCGATAAAGGTGGATACCAATTGAAAAAACTTGATCTTGACCATTGAAATGGCCATTTAAAATGACCACTAAAATGTCCGCCAAATTTCTTATTATTAAATGGATGATAATCAAAGAAAGGAAAAAGCCTGAAATTTTTTGTCTCAATGCATGTTTAGGTAAAACCAAAAAATTAGACACCAAAAACAGAATTAAAAAGCACAAAACAATCCAGTATGGCCGAAAAATCCAAGATGGCAGACATTTTTTCTATAGGCTAATATAATGTAATATAGAAGTAATATTAAAGATAGTACTGAAAATTTTAAGGCATTTAAAACATATTTAGGGTTTACGCAGCGAAACACTACACTCTTTCCTGCCCTATATGCTAGATTTTAATCTGGCACTCTAAATGCAAGCATATAGAGTGGCTACCTCGGAATGCCTTCAGCGTCAAGATGTGTGAGGGGGTTAAAACGTGTACCACTTAAGAAGCATGCAAAAAAAATATACATTAATTAAAGGCAGTTTTTTCTCTGAGTACTCTTGGGTTTTGGTGTTTTTTTCTTCTGTTATCGGTCGTCGTCTTCGTTCTTTTGTTATTGATCCTCGTCGCAGTTCTCTTGTTGCCAGTTCTTCTGTTATTGGTCGTGATCTTCGTTCTTCTATAATCGTCCTGGTCTCCAGTTCTTTTGTTGTTAGATGTTCTGTTATCCGTTCTCGTCTCATTCTTCCTGTAATCAGAGTCCTGGTCTCCGTTTTCTTGTTGTCAATTTTTTCTGTCATAGGTACCCCTCTCTGTTATCGATCCCCGTCTCCATTCTTCCTTTCGCTCAATCCTGTCTGTGGTGTTATTTTGTTATCGGTCCTGGTCTCTATTTTTTGTTATCAATCCTCGTCTCCGTTGTCTTGTTGTCAGTTCTTCTGTTATCGGTCCCCGTCTCTGTTATCGATCACCGATACCATTCTTCTGGAATCAGTCATCGTCTATGTTCTTCTGTTATCGGTCCCTACTTCTGTTTTTCTGTTATCGGTCGACGTCTCTGTTTGGTTGTTGTCAGTTCTTCTGTTATCGGTTCTCGTCTTTGTTGTCAGTTCTTCTGTTATCGGTTCCTGTCTCTGTTCTTATGTTATCGGTCCTCGACTCTGTTCGCTTGTTGTCAGTTCTTGTCTCCGTTTTCCTTCTGTTATCGGTCGTCGTCTTCGGTCTTGTACTTTCGGTACTTGTTTCCTGTTCCGTTAAGGTCTTCTCTTGTTTCTATAGTTTCCGTCATTCTGTGTCTATGTTCTGGTTATGTCAATCTCGTAGTCATTTTTATTCGTTCAGTGGAGTAGCGGTGGAATCGAACTCACGACCCTTGATTTGTAGGCAGACAGTGTTACCCACTGCACCATAGCGCCCGCTCTGAATAATAAACCATTTTTTGAAAATCCTTTATACATTAAATACTATTTCAATGGCTAACAAAGGGTTATTACAATTATATTTTTAACACCTCTACTATTGTAGCCTACCCCACGGTGACTTTTTTATATGGTCAAGAAAATATTACTCGATTTACAACAAATAATTTTTTATAGATAACTTTTGCTGTTACTTTTAGATATCCTATTTTATTTTTTATTTTATTTTTGGGGGAGGGGGGTAGGAGGGGGATGCAGTATATATTTTAAACACTTTTTTGTCTCGGTTTGTGTTGTGTTTATGGCATTGAAATGACATTTTTTTTTGACATTTAAAAATTATTTTTAAATATTCATTTTAAAGACATAAATACCATAATAAGTGCAAAACATATGAACAACTTAAAAAAATATCATAGCTACAAAAATAATGTTGAAAATTACGGAACACCTTAAAGTGATATTTTCCACACTTTCTCCCGGAATTGAATTCGTTTTACGACGATAATACATTCCAATTAGAAATATTATTTCGTTTTAACGAAATATAAAATCTTAATTATGATATATTGATTCGTTATTACGAAATATTATTTCGTAATTATGGAATATTAATTTGTTATTACGAAATATTTATTCTTTGGTAATATTTATAAACTAAGCTTATTGTTAAATATAAGTCAAATAAAAAACATAAAAAGTGATTTTTTTCAATCTTATTATTATACCTTAACGCGCTAGTAAAACATTACTCTATATACTGTTAATTGAGCCATTAGGCATTATAATCGCTATAGTTTGGTGGCCAATCTCATTCAAATCTGATCATATTAAATAATCGATTTGATTTTGACAAGAATAATTAATTGCAGCATTTGTAAATCATTGTAGTTTTTTAATGACCCTATTTTAGAATTTTTAAAGCGGCCATTTTGAATTGAACTTTGAAGGACAAGGTCAATTTATTTTCTTTGTATCCACCCTCATCGTCTTCAACATACCCATATTGTTAAAAACACTCAAGATCATAACTTGTACTATAAAATGCCTCTAGCATTCATATTTTCTTAAAATCAGTCCTGTCTATTAGTATACTAGCTACTTGTGAAAATATAAATTTTCAGTATGCTGTCTTGTTAAAATCATATCTATCTACATATCCGAGTATAGGACCTCTAGATCATAAATCTAGATTTATCAGAACTTATATTCAATCTGTCTCTTTACATCATAATTTACCATTTTAATTGGTAATATTATAAGTTCTATTTTATATGATTTATCAGAAGGCAACATGTTTCGTGTGATAGTCGATCTGTTTATAGCTGGATCAGAGACAACATCTTCCACTCTAGACTGGGCGTTTTTTTTTATGACCGAGAAACCTGAATGTTCAACGAAAATGTCAGCAGGAAATTGAACAGGTTCTTGTTTACTTTACTTTGTCGTTTGGTTTTACGTCACACCAACACAATTTAAGTCATATGGCTTCAAAACAGGACAGATAATTTGGCTAATTCGGGTTTTAAAAATGTTGAGCAACACCAGAAGTCAAAACCACAACATCTGCTGGATCTAAGTGATACATAGACTCAAGTTATTCGAACCCCCATAAAGTCGCCTCTTACTATTCACTCAGGGATAAATGTATAGCTGCAATTCTGATTCTTCAACCCTTGATTGGCAACCCCTCAGCCATAAGAGGGAAGTTTAAAACCACCACACTCGACTACTCGATTCTAGAGGGAGACGGACTTACAAATTTACAAAAACAAAAACACGAAAAAACAAATTTGCCAACATCAGACGGGAATGAATTCTTTCTGCTATACTTTCTTGACCAGATAATTGTTGTTTGAAATCGTTGATTGACCAATGATTCTGTCATACCATTGCATCAGATTGTTATTTTTAAGCTATTTGGAGACAAGGTCATCGAGTACTCTGAACGTAACAAGCTGGTTTATGTAAACGCTACACTTATGGAAATTCAAAGAATTTCGGCAATAGGTATGTTTTGCAACACAGGTAATCCGTCTAACTGCGCCTTTTTCAGAGTAAAAATGTGCCTTAATAGTCCGCATAAATAAAATATAGAACAGAATATTCAAAGTCACGGACGTTGCCTCGGTTAAAAACGACATACGGCACTTTTTGTCTTACCTGGGAAAAAATGTGATGCTTTTCTTATACTGCTGCAATTGTATTTAATTATACACTGTATATCATTTTTAATATTGGTTAACACATATATTTGAACCTACGAGACTTGGAAATCTTAAATACTTTTCATGGTTTGAAACCATTCTTAATTATCCAGATCTCGTCAAGTAAACTTGCATCTGTCTTACTAGTAAGTCCCGAAAGTAAAAAGAAAAAACAAAAAACACACATCAATACAATATTCAATCATAATCAAAAATAAAAAACACATTATTTTATTATTTGAGGTAAACGTGTGTTCTTTTTTTACATTCACATTAACACTGTACTTTCCAGTTCCTCTGGAATGTACCCCACGTAACAAGCGCCGATACGACACTGAAGCGGTTACGACATTCCAAAAAAGGGAACACTGGTTTTTCCTACTCTTTACCTCGGGTCAGTATGGATGAAAAATATTTTCCAAATTTCCAGCCCAGTTTCTTGTCCTGAACGATTCATTGACAAGAATGGGTCTGTTAATAAAAGGAATGCAGCGAATTATCCCCATTTTCCACAGGTGATCTCGTACCCTTTAATAATGAAAAACCGTTCACCATTGAAATGATGTTTAAATTTGTTATTGATTTTTCATGTACATGTATATAAATTTTGGGCTGAATAGATATTAAAGAACGCTCTTTTTCATTTCAGGGAATGGTTGTAGGAATTTTAATTGCAGTAAACTAAAAAAAACAAGTTTCTCAATTTCATTAAAAGCCTTACTCATCAGATCTGGACGACAACCGGCACAAGGTCATCATTTGTTGACCTTTCTGCCCAACCTAATCAGGTTGCACCAGGGTAACTAGACCGTAGGAAATCGTGTTTTTTTTTGGTAAGCCTTTAGTTTAATTTCAGCGAAGTTTAAGATTTTCAATGCCAAACAGTGTCAAATTCAAAGAAGTTTTTCTAAAATTAAAACGAAACAGATAAATTCAAAATCATTTATTTTTCAGGACCTCGGGAAATTGTCTAGGCCGAACCTGCGCTCGGATGGAGCTATTTTACTGGTATTTGTTAACCTTTTTACAAACGATTTACATTTAAAAAGGGAAAGGTCTGGATATTTTACACGATCCTAAAGCCTAAAAAAAAATCAGATTTACTAATGGCGCCAGCACCCGTATAAACTTGAGGGGCAATTAAAAACAGTGAAAAAATGTTTTTTGAAGTTAGGTCTGGAGCTTAAGCCCCCTTTGTTTACAACTTTATAAGAATAAATTTGATATGGATGGGGAATTTTTAAAGTAGCCATTCATTAGACACCGGAGTATTATTGCGTGCATTTCCTTTTTATTTAGTTTATTTAGATACGATTTTTTTACTCCTCAAAATATACAGAGGAGGTTTAATATATTAACCATTTTTCATTTTATCTCAGGCAGGTTATTTTGGTATTGCCAATAGCATAGAAGAAATATACAGTACAATTTTCCTCCCCTTTAAATTTAAAATTAAAAATTTTGCTTAAAAACAAAAACTTTTATAAAATTTTTTTCGAAATGCATCCCCAAAAGTTTAAAATTTTTTAAATTTTTTATAACCCCGGTTTAAAGTGATTCCATAAAAAATTTAATTTAAAATCCCCGTGTAAATGAAAAAAAAAATAAATTTAAAGGGTTTTTCTCAATTTTGCAAAAATTTTTAAAATTTTTTTTTCATTTTTTTATATCCCAACCCTGTAGTCAAACAAGACTACCCAAATACAATGCTGCAATTTCGGGCCCACAAATACGCTCAATTTTGGGAAAAAATTTTTTTAGTCACTTAAAAAAAGATAAATAAAAATTTCCCATGATTTCCCTTTAAAAACCCGGGCCCAAAATTTAAATCTTTCTTTTTTCCCAAATCGCCCTTTTAAATCGTTAAAAAATTTTTTGCACGATTTGTTTACAATACGGACAAATGTCAACTTTTTTATTCCTTTCCGGGCCTGTCATCAATAAAACATTGAACACCAATTAGTATTGAAGACGGTTCTAAAACCTATTACGCTATCTTTAAACCCAAAAAGCGAACAATTCATTTTTAAAAAAAAAAAGACTGTGCCAGGCCTTTGTTGGGGGTGTTAAAAACATTTTTAGTCACTTTGGATGAAATTTCTAATTAAAAATTCACAAATTAAAACTCCGAGATGATTTTAAAAAAAAGGCCCGATGTGGTTCCGCATTGAATTTAAAGAATCTTTGTCTTTTATCGTAGAGTGTCACTTATATGGGATACAGGAACTTTTATAATCTAAACCAATTTTCAATCGTTTCACCGACGGAGCCTTTATTTAACAAACTTGGGATCACATGATTTTGATATTCTTAAACATAATAAGATGTTTTTTAGCATATATTTTTAATATAAGTAGATAGCCAAACACCTAGAACTAACTCTTGCCGGTTTTAAAAAATTATCCATTTCACCAGATTATGGCCGCCTAGTCCGGAGTTAGGACAAACCGCTTGGGCTGGACCTCTCTTGTGACTTAGGCGGTCTTACGAAACAAGCAGTCAGTGGAAAATCAAAATTACTAAAACCCACTATTCCATATTGTCACTGTTTCTTTCTTGAAATTTTTCATATAACCTTTAACATTTATTTTCGGAGACCCGCAAGGGACACGGGCAGATGGGCAATCACTGTTTGTTTCAACATATTTTAGTTCCTTTTAAATGTTCCCGCGGAAAAAAATTTCAAAAAATTTGAGCTTGCGAATGGCTTCTATTCACTTAGGATCCCAGTTGTTAACTCTTTCCTATTCGCACCCCAAGCGTAATTTTTGTCTCATTCTAAAACCATGTCTTTCATTTTGATGTGGTATGCCGTTAGACATTTCACCCTGGTCCTTCTTTAAAAGCTAAAACTTTGGAATTATATATTTCCCCAACATGAAATTCCAGCAAAGAGTTGGGCCACGAGAATTTCGTAACACGCTACCGGACTGGTCTAAGAAAGGTCTTCGAGTTACTTCATCATAGCCCAAGATAGCATTTCAGGCCAGACCATTTACATCAGTCTTACATACAATTCTCAGCCTGAACATCACCAATTTTTCCTGAAATTTTGACAGAATTTTCCACCCAGAGAGGCATCAAAAACCCCCGTCAAAACAATCGATTTCAGATATCTTTAAATCATTATTAAAATCATTTACCGTTATGCTTTCAACATTTGCAACCACTTTGACAGCAGAGTCACACTCGCTGTTTAAAACATTGAACAGTTTAGAGGAATCTCCCTGAATCATGCGAGTATTCTTTTCTACATTTAAAAAAACAAACGTTTCCTTTTTGTTAAAATTACCAGAAATATTGGTTTTATTTTGGGGCCGCCTACTCAGCACATAGACCATATTTTGGGAATAATAGCTTCCCAAACCATGCGCGACACTATAACTGCTTTTGGCTAGATTTGATAGGGAAATTCCATTAGTCCATTAATCTTCTTTAATATTAATCTTTATTTTATTATCATCGTTCAATGTTTCGGGTACAAAAATTCATATCAAATCGTTTAATGCAAAAGTAAGTCATTTTCCTTTTGAATTGTCTTAGATTAATCTCTTCGTTTAGTCACAAAACACTTTTTAAAAAAATCGACCATTTACAACAAAAGTCGACTACAACAGGTCAAGTCTTAAAAACATTCAAAAACTTATGGAAAAAAAAATATGCCGAGACGGGACAAACATCGATTATTTTACATTCCTGAATAGTAAACCCCTATTGGGTGACTGATTTGGTACACTTTTGCGCGTTGCGTTGTTGATAGCGATAACACAAACCTTTATCATTATCTCCTTTTCGTCTTGTCGCTAAGCGAAACGGGTCAAACGACGCGTTTCATGTCGCACTGTCGTCTTTTATCCTGGTCGCTATCGAACTTATCGATCCATTCGATATATAACAATTTCTCGATTTAGACTAGCGGACAATTGACATCGATGCCACAAACAACGTGTCGTTTGACGTACATCGTTAGTGACAGGACGACTCAAGACGACAGTTCCACAAGGCGACGTTTGGCCCGTTTCGCCTAGCGACATCACGTCGCACAAAAGTGTTCCAAATCAGTAACCCCACCAACAACCAGTTTAAACCTTACGGTAGGGGTAAACTGATACTCTTTTTGAAAATAAAAGGATTCGTAATTATGCATTGGATCACACGCAGCCAACAACTATACAGTAAAATATATACATCTTATTGTTTACTTTTACTACCAATGGGTTACATTGACAAAATCGCTACTGGACATTAAGGATCTTCTATCATCATGATTACATTTTTTAGTTCAAACAAATTTTGACGAAACACCAAATTGTCTGAAGTTGTAAAAAGGAACTCCACTGAAGTCTTAAAGCTATAAAATATGTAATTTGAATTTCTTACATATATTAACTGGAGAAAGATATGCAAATGATAATTAAGACAAACATTCGCAAAAAGTGAAAAATTCGTTTTTTTTTGTGCTATCCTTGCCCGATTTGAGGGGAAAAAGCAATGCAACGCTTTTTGCATTTTTAAGTGAGTTTTGTCAACAATTGAAATAATCATTTCTTGAAAAAAAAAAGAAGCGAGCGAATTAATTTATTAGATTAGATTAGCTTTGTTTTCATTTTCAGAATTAAAAAAAAGAAGAATCTACATGTATGTCAAATCCATATTGTTCTCTGTCAAACCTTCATTTTCAGTTTATCCGAAGCCCAAAACTCCCATATCAAATTCATTATTATACTGTAAGTAATTGTACTTGCCGACATAATTCAGTGTAAACTACACAGTGTCCCGTAAGGGGCTTGTATGGCATTGTTAAAACGACGGTGTCCCCGTCAGGAACATCGTGACACTATACATATTAACTCGAAACTTTTTCATTTCGGTGTTTCGTTACTTCGACTTCTAACCATCGTAATTTTCGTGTTGTCGTTTTTTCGAGTTATGCGTGTTGTCACGATTTGGCCCCAAACAAGGCAACCGTATCATATTTTATTTCTGCTTTATATAAACATTTTTTGAAAATTTTCGTTAAAAACTAATGAACGGTTAAGGGGAAACAAGCCCATTAAAGATATTTAGCGTGGCTACGTTTATTTGCGTATTTCACAACTTTTAAACGTGTTTTGTCCGTATATCATATACCACAATTATAAAATAACATTACTCCACATATTGATTACGTTGCAATTAACTTGACGGCAATTCAATTAAGTGGGATTTAATTTGAAAACTAAGACTATATTTATTTATGTTTCAGTGTTTCTTATGTAAATACTCTTTGTCTTGAATATATTATTAATTCGTAGCAATTTTACAATGTTTATTTAGGGATCGCATATACACTTTTATAACATTCAATTTGATAGCAATAGGAAAAAAATACAATGCCTTTGAAACTGTGCACCGAATCGCCTGTCAAATGATCAGTATATCGCATGATACGTTGCCTACAAACAGTTTTAACGTAAATAAAGTACATCAGACGATAAAAAGGACGATAAATAGAGCGTGCTTTTTTCTTTTCAATGTGAATCTATATTTACTTTTAAATATGCTGTTTTCAAAACGTAATGTTCGTAGATAATTGTATAATATTTCTTTGTAACCCGAAATCTTTTTTGTTAATTGTATATAGGTTGTGAGAAAATATTTATTCGCAGATTTTTTTTACTATATCGCTTTATTCACTCACAATGTAACATACTAGAACAACATGGAATCCTATATGGCAAAAATAAAAAAAAAAAAAAAAAAACAAAAAAAAAAAAAAAAACAACAACAAAAAACAAAAAACACACAAAACGCAAAAATACGTTATAACAATATTCTTTTTTTTTTAACAGACTTTACATTGCCTAATGTCATAATATCTAAACGAGCGTTATGCCCTCGTTTTATTGTTGTGTTTTTAAAACTTTGTTGTTGTTTTATTATTTAAAAAAAAATTAGTAGACTCCCAAAGGCTTGATAAATTTAAAGTTATCGTTAGATTCTGTCAAAGCTCAGCAAAAAATTACTCTGGTTACCCACCTTAGTGCTCAATTATGATGTCGTCTGCTTCTCTACCGTTCCCGCCAAACTTCGATCAAGTACAGGTATAAATGATAATAAGAAGATATTTTTTCGTTTGAGTGAATTTTTGAAAATATTTTCACAAACGTAATAAAATTCAAACTACTTTCACGAGCGAGTAAAATGTGTATATATATTTGTTTCTCACGATAATGATATATATTTGTCGGATTAAGCACCATATTCATGGGTAAAATTAAATATGGAGGTAATAATTGAAACATAATATTAAAGAATTTTCTACCAATAAAACGTGTAAACAAATGAGCCGCGCCATGACAAAACCAACATAGTGCGTTTGCAACCAGCATGGACCCAGACCAGCCTGCGCATCCGCGCAGTCTGATCAGGATCCATGCTGTTCGCTTACAAACCCTATTACAAGTAGAGTAACTGATAGCGAACAACATGGATCCTGATCAGACTGCGCGGATGCGCAGGCTGGTCTGGATCCATGCTGGTCGCAAACCCATTATGTTGGTTTTGTCGTGACACGGCCAAATACAATACTGTATTGTTCAAAATTAATCATTTTAATCAATTTTTATGTCTCAATTCATTTCTTAAAAACTTATTATTTTTTATTATTTTTACAAGTACTCGATTGCTACTAGACATTAAGGCTAATAAAAAAACTCCAACCGTATTTCTTCTACAGTTATAGATAGTTTGCTATAGCTCTGCATACCTTTTTTATAAAATGTAAGACTTAAAGTACACCCGATATGACTTGTTAAAAGGTAATCTTTAGTCAACTCTTTAATGCAAATGTTTTTAAAGTTTTTAAATGAAATATTCAGAAAAAGAAAACTAAGCTATGTACATCAAAAGTGCACGTGCGTAGTTACTTAAACGCGGTTGTTCACACAATTTTCCTCCAAAGTGGAACCACAATGTCGTATGTACAAGAGACACGTGTTGTATAAGGAATTTAGTGCGGCATACTATCTTTCTACAAAGAAAATCGAATTTAAACATTATTTTTACAATATTAATTACCTAAACTTTTACGACATTTAAAAATCGAAAAAAAATATGGGAGATAATGTTTTTTTGAGCTACAACTGTATAATAAATACCCATTATATCTATTCAAATTAACACATAACGGGAAAATAGCAGACGACAGTTTCTGTTATCATATTGAAATAAAAAGGTTTTAAGCCAAGATGAATATTTTGTTGCTTAGTGTGTTAATTTTAGCATTGTTTTACCCGGTAAAAGTATTTTCACAAACTGGAACCGATGTTAATAATTTGTTGACGCATTTATTTACAACTCGGGGTTACAACAAGAAAATTCGGCCACTTACTGACCAGAACACAGCGGTACAAATTGGCTTGGACTTCTTCTTGAATGGTGAGACTTGTTCTTTTTAATACAGTCTTTAATCTTTTGAATTTGTATAACGTTCTTTACCTTTTTTGGAATAGATTCGGAAACTGTTTTGTGCAAGTTTTAAAAAGTCTGATAAACAGAGGTCAATAAATGCGTGTAGGTTCAATATGGAATTTATTGAACGAGTTGAATTAAATTATAGTTCTATGCAAGTCTCTAGTAACCATATTGTTGTCTTTTCATATAAAAAATCAATAATTTAGTATTGAAGCAATACGGATATAATACAATTAATTTAACACTCATTCTCACTTAAGTACGACATTTCATAAGTTCTAGAGCTGAAAAATGAACTTTCTTGAATATTAAAATTCTATTCCATTCCAAAATTATAAGTATCTCGACATCTTAAATATAAAATATTACCAGTACAGATGTCCTAGATTTTTCCCTATAATAGGTTTTCTAGATATAACCAGAAAATAAATTTCGCCATTTTCGAGACAACGGTCCTTAAATTTGTGCATATGGTATGGCGATTTTATTTTGTCTCTTAAAATAAACTTTCTATCATCTATTTATATGAACATCTGGGAATGAGAATCAATCATTGAACTGACAAAAAATACATCTTTTGAAAAACAACTCATGGAAATGCATTTCATATCGAATATGCTTAAATCTCATTTTCAAAATGAATAACCTTACAAAATTCACAGATCCATACAATGGACGAGTAAGAAAATGTGAAAATTACTGACGAATTCTTGAAAGTACGTACTTATTTATTATCAAATTGTCAAATGTGTAATAATTTACGTCATCTCATATATTGACAATTTATTAAGGACTCGTAAATGATTTTTCAGTTGTCCCGTAAGTGACCCAGTATCCAGATGCTATGGATTGACAGAAAGAAATGTTAATACTTTGAATTATATATTTATAATGATTGAAGATTAGCTTATATTTATTTATGAAATGGAGCAGATATTCCTTTGGCAAGGTTGGGCCCAATTAACAATATTTAAACATTTGAACTGAAAATAGTCAAAAAATAAGTAAAAGATCGTATAAATGGTCTTAGAGAGGCAACAAAATTCCTAGAATGGCATAAAATCCAAGATGGTGTAAATGAAAACAATAGTACGAACCAAAACAAATATTTTTTCTCATAGAAATATCACTTTCATTGAGAAAATCACTGTTTTATAATTTTCTTTCGCTCTGGTCATTTACGGGACATATCAATTTTAATACTATTATCTTATAATTGAACTGCAAAACAATGAACAGTATTTTTGTTTAAACAGATATTAAGTATCTAGATAAATTAAAATATTTTATATCAAGATGCATGAAAAGTCATATTCCATTTAACTGAAATATCTATGAAAATGTTTTTAAGTTTTCAGAATTTATTTATTTAGGACAAAACTAGGTAGTTCTCTACATATCTGCTCCAAAGAACCTTCTATCTTAAATACAAGATACTCCAATATTATTGCGTTTACATCGATAAACGTGGACTCAAAATTTCCTATTACTCGAATGAATATTCCCAAATTAATTTTACCATTTACGGGACAGTTCAGCCAGATACGGGACACGCCTGTTATCATGTTTACTTCGTTTTTGTAATTAAAATATAAGTTTAAATGTATTCATTTATGAAAGTAAGTATCCATTGAACTCTTTAATAGTCAAAACGTCTGAATACCAATGACAATATCAAAATTATGAATTTTAGAAGCTATCTGCAAGTGAAAAACACATTTCAGATGCGTATGTTTAAAAAACAGGGATATTTCTTTGCTTTCGTGGAAGAATACTATTCCAACAATATCAACGCCCATTAACAAGTTGAAATAATTCAACATATCTAGCAGAGTAAATCACAAGAGAATGTGAAAGAGTGTGAGTCCCGTAATGCTGCCCTCACACATAAACCACGACCTTACTGCGACCTGAAAACTAGTAAAATAGCATTTTTCTTTCGAAAATCGTTGGTTTTCTTTCAATTTCCAAATTTCTCTCGCAGACGGTCCGGGGCTCTGCAGTCTTGTGTTTCAGTACGTTTTCTCTAATGTCCTCAATACGACCCTTCTACGTCCATGGCGTTTTCCACTGCGACTGTATTGCGTCCCCAAGGCGACCCCACGGCGATCATCGGCGACCCAGCTGCGACTGTGCTATGTTCTCTGCGTCCTTACGGCGACTCTACGACGGCTATTGCGTTTTGTCCGGCGACTGTCCTGCGACTGTACGACGACCCTTCTACGTTCTTGCTACGTCTATAAAAAACAAATACTTTTTACCAGTAAATTTCATTCTGAGTTTGACCTTCAACGAGTGAAGACGTATTTAATTAGTATTAAGTTAAATCATCCATATTATTCCAAAGATGAGAGGCGGACGAGGCAAAAGAGCGAGGGTCTCTAAAGTGCTACAAGTTGACCCAGTCGCCGCTTCAAGATATGCAGTTTGGTAGTGGTTCACAGTGTGTAGAAATCGCGGCTTCATCCACTGGCGGAGACGCATACAAACAGTCTTCTAGTGGTCCACAGTCTGTTGAAACAGCGGCACCGCTATCAGACCAAGTCTCCGAGTCGGACACTCAATCTACCAGTGGTAAACAGTGTTACAGTTCTTCAAAGGCCAATAAGTCTAGGTTGATGATGAGAAGTGACCTCACAGCTGAAGATGAAGAATCCATGGGTCGAGTGGTTGAGAGAAAACCCGTTGCTCATGTTGCTCCTGAACAAGAATCATGTATTGAGCCAGTATTACATTATCCATTTTCACACACCGATGTTAAAGCACTGACTGCTGAAAGCGAACTGAAATTCTAGATTTTTAAGCAAAAGTCTAATGAAAATGGTAATCGTACTAGGGTCGCACTAGAAACGCAGTGCAGCCGTACAAAGGTCGCCATAGTCGCAGTACAATCGCCGTAGAGTCGCAATGGACGCAGAAGGGACGCACTAAGGACGTAGTAAGATCGCAGAATTTTTCTTATTCTCTGTTCTAACAGCACTGAAGTCGCACCAAGAACGCCAAGGATGTAGTAAGGACGTGGTAAGGACGCAATAGTCGCAGCAAGGACGCAGAAGCGTCGCCAAAGGTTTCCGAGCAATTTCTTGTAATTTCATCGGTGACTCTACGGCGTCCTTAGTACGAGTGTACTACGTCTAATTGCGTTCTTATTGCGTCCTTACAACGATGCTGCTGCGACTATGGCGACTCCACTGCGATCCCACGGCGACCTAACCAGGACTCAGCAAGAACGCAGAGTTTCTGCGACTGTTTTGTGCATGTTCAAAATAGTCGCCGACGGTCTGCGACCTTGTGCGTCCTTGGGTTCCTCGCTACGACCTCGCTGCGTCCCTGCTGCGTCCATGGCGACTGTGCTGCGTCCTGGGTCGTAGCAAGGTCGCAGTAAGGACGCAGCAAGGTCGCGAGGTATGTGTGAGGGCAGTATAAATGATGGGCTCGTAAATGTTGAAAATTTCTGTTTGACAAGGGAATTTTATGAGAAATTGTGGAATGGTTTACATGAATGACAGAATATAAGCAAGACAAATATCCGCTCTAGATATCTGAAGTATTATAACATTGAAATTATTGAAAATATATTGCAAAACGCATGGTATTGATGAGCCTCGTAAATGATTTTGAAAAAATTACGCTTGTAAAATCCAAATTAATGTGAAATCCTTATCAAAATGGTTGCACAGATACTCTTAATCGTCATATTTTATGTTAACTATATTACTGTAGACTTAATATTGCTATTGAAATAACCATTTATACGTTACCATGTATGATTAACGTTGTTTTGCAATTAAGACTCGTAAATGATTTCGACTTTGAAGACAAGCAATTCAAATTTGATTTTGAGAAAATAAGTTTTCGTAATATCAAAAACAGTTTTATACGTCAAAATCTGCAATAGAATAACGAAAATAAGCTGTTTTTACTGTTAACCACGACTTTTGTACGAAGATATGTGCAATGAAACATACTTCGATTTAGTTGAAGACATGCTGTTTTGAATACCCCTTCCTTGCAAAAGCAATTGTCAATAGCAAAATCAAACCAACAGGCTAGTAAACTTGCGCTCAAATTAAATCTTTGATGCAGTACCAATTGTTAAAACATTTTACAAGAATGTTCGGGCTTATATGTCTCCACAAATTTTAATAGAGCATTGAAGACATGGAATGTCGTACTTAAGTGAGAATGAGTGTTAAGTCAATTTACCCAAAACATTAAAAACTCCATTTTTTTTCCAACTGACGCGAACGGCAGATTGACTGATTACAAAGCGTCGAACGCATATGATTAGCTTAATGTGAAACGTAACTCGTTCCATTTCTTGTTAGGATATTAAATTGTGAACATTGAATTTGACATTTTGTAGAGGGAAATTCAGTAAAGTCTTTTCACGTAGTACAATTTATTGAAACACTTGCGCATTGGAACTCAAACCGTGCATTATTCTTCACAACTTACTGGTTTCTTAATCATTAGCAATTTTGATGTCATGTCTGATGTCATATGACGTTTGAACACACCTTTCTTATGTAATCGTATATTTTAGCTTTCACTAAACGATTTAGTTGATTTCATTTATTTACCAGGAAAAAAATAGGGTAAACCATGTTAAAGGAATAATTGAACTGTGCCAGGTCAAAACTAACATAATGGGTTTGCGGCCACCATGGGTCCATACCAGTCTGCGCATCTGCGCAGTCTGATCAGGATCCATGTTGTTCGCTATCAGTTTCTCTACTTGCGCAGACTGGTCTGGATCCATGCTGGTCGCAAACGCATTTTAGTGTCCAACTTTATTTGTCATCCAAGTTAAATTTTCATAGAAGAACAAATGTCGATACTATATCAAATTCTGTTCATAGTCATCTTCTATTTTTCATAGTACTTCATAGAACCGCGTTGTTAAAATAGTCATTTACATAAATTTGCACATGCGCTTTCATGGGCCGCTTTTAAGGAAAAAGGTCAACCTACATGAATTTTGTATTTATGGTTAAGGTTCATTATTTAAATCCACGTCCTGGCGAAAAAAATATGGCACGTGTAAACAAAATGTCAATTAAAATTTTTTATTGCGAATGTAGGAAAATGTCTGAATTAATTTAAACTAAGAAGTAAATCACGTGTGTGAGTGTGTGTAAGGTCATTGTGTAAGTAGTGCCTTGTGTGTCAGTGCTTGTGTAGTGTCATGTGTGACTTGTTTGCTGTCTGCATCATAATCGGTCAGTATGCATTGTGCCATGCCATAATGTAAGTAGTAGTGGACTGTGTGTCAGGCCAGTGTTTGAGCTGTAACCTGTTTGTCAGTGTGTGAGAAGTGTCCTGTCTGCCAGTGTGTGAGTAGTGTCGTGTGTTATTGTGTCAGTCCATATATGTGTTTGAATAATATACGGTGTGTCAGTAGCACCCTATGTGTTAGTGTAAAGTTTTGTGTGGTTTGGGTGATTATATGTTATTGTTTGAGTTGTGTCCTGTGTGTCGGTGCGTGTCATTTCTTTGAGTAGTGCTATGTGTGTCAGTCGTATGCTGTGTGTGGCATTATGTGAGTAGTGTCCTGTGTGTTATCTGTGTATCAGTTGTGCCATAAGTGTCAGTGTGTGAATGGTGTCATATGTGTTATTAATATGTCTGTGTTTGAATAGTGTACAGTGTGTGTCAGTAGCTCCTTATGTGTTAGTGTGTAAGTACAGTTTTGTGTTTGAGTGTGTACGTTCTATGCTGTGTGTGTTATTGTGTCCTGTCTGTGAGTGTGTGAGTAGTGTTCTGTGTGACAGTGTGTGAGTAGTGTCCTGTTTGTCAGTGTGTTAGTAGTGTCCTGTCTGACAGTTTGTGAGAAGTGTCCTGTCTGACAGTTTGTGAGAAGTGTTCTGTCTGTCAGTGTGTGATAAGTGTTCTGTCTGTCAGTGTGTGAGTAGTGTTCTGTCTGTCAGTGTGTGAGAAGTGTTCTGTCTGTTAGTGTGTGAGTAGTGTCCAGTCTGTCAGTGTGCGAGTTGTTCCCTGTCTATTAGTGTGTGAGTAGTGTCCTGTCAGTATGTGAGTAGTGTCCCGTCTGTCAGTGTGTGAGTAGTGTCCTGTCTGTCAGTGTGTGAGTAGTGTCCTGTCTGTCAGTGTGTGAGTAGTGTCCTGTCTGTCAGTGTGTGAGTAGTGTCCTGTCTGTCAGTGTGTGAGTAGTGTTCTGTCTGTCAGTGTGTGAGTAGTGTCCTGTCTGTCAGTGTGTGAGTAGTGTCCTGTCTGTCAGTGTGTGAGTAGTGTCCTGTCTGTCAGTGTGTGAGTAGTGTCCTGTCTGTCAGTGTGTGAGTAGTGTCCTGTCTGTCAGTGTGTGAGTAGTGTCCTGTCTGTCAGTGTGTGAGTAGTGTCCTGTCTGTCAGTGTGTGAGTAGTGTCCTGTCTGTCAGTGTGTGAGTAGTGTTGTGTCTGTCAGTGTGTGCGTAGTGTCCTGTCTGTCAGTGTGTGAGTAGTGTTCTGTCTGTCAGTTTGTGAGTAGTGTCATGTCTGTCAGTGTGTGCGTAGTGTCCGGTCTGTCAGTGTGTGAGAATGGTGCTCCGTAAATTCCGTTCATTGTGAAAGCTATGAATTGTGTAAATTATGATTTATATTGAAATCGCCATTACAAGTCATTTTTATTATTGTTGTTGTTAGTATTTTTAGTGGAGTAGCGGGGGGTCGAACTCGCAACCCCTAGACTTGTAGTCAGACAGTGTTACCACTGCACCACAGCGCCCGCTCTGATTTATAACTTTTTTGTAGTCCCTATATACATTATCACATTAGTAAACAAGAAATTGAGTAATACAATTGACTTTTCACACCTAAATAGTAAATATAGCTTTTAGGTCTATAGTGTTTTACAATGGCTGACATTCGTGTCCATGCTCGAGGGGCTATGATAAAGGACTAGACACAAACGAGTACTGAAAGTAAATAAATATAAAAAGATAATTAGAAGTTTCTAATTTCTGTAGAACAGCACGACATGTTGGTTTTGTCATGGTGCGGCTCAAATTTATTAACATTCATCTGTTATATAATTTCAGCAATAATTGACTTTGACGAACAAGACGAAAGTTTAAAGACGTCTGGTTATCTTAGTTTTATTTGGCTTGATGAATATTTGACGTGGAACCCAGCTGACTACAACTCAACTACCGAAATATTTCTGGTATACACCATTATCTTACATTATACCAATTATTATACCCATATTAGAAAAGAATAGAATATAGTAGAATAGAATAGAATAGCAAAGATAATGACTGTAAAAAAATGAAAATAAAAAGAGAATAACCTATTTGAACCCAAAGAATAACTTTTGTTTTAGAGAAGTTAAGTTTTACCTATCGCGAAGAACTTTTCTTAGCTTACAAAAATGGTAAACCGTACTCAAAACATCTAATTTTGATGTGAAAAAAGCGCATATAGAACTATTAATGTGCATAAGGTATACGTCATATTAGTGCTTTTACTTTTGATATTGAATTTTAAGCCCCAGGACGATATATGGAAACCAGATGTAGCGATAAGAAATGCCTTCAAATCCTTTACTGGACTCGGATCCTCATTTCTAAATGTCAGGGTTACTTCGGATGGATTAGTTTGGTGGAATCCATTCCAGGTAATTTGGACATAGCTTTTTAGATTTTACATACATATTTCACCCATATGTCTTCTGAATATAAAACAGTAAATTTATTTAATATAAAAGGAGATGAGATTATGTTATAATTATGGTAGGGTGGCACCGTATATTTGTTTACTTTTTCAAATTCTTCTTAATTTATCATACTATCTATACAAATACTTCGTTTACTTATCATATATTTACTTCATTAAGAATGAAGGTCCTATTAAAAACTTTGTCGAGTATCGCATAAATATTGCATAAATTCGAAGCCTCTGTGTCGTCATAATACCTTAATGTATATTTTGTTCCGCGAGAGCGTGCTTACCTATTGTGACGTCATTCATTATCTGAGAAAACACCAATATGGCGGCTCGCATAAACTTTCCGTTTATTTCAGGTGCTTGAATCAACTTGCGCCGTTGATATCACGTACTTCCCGTTTGATAGACAAACTTGCGATTTGAAGTTCACAGCATGGAGTTATAGCAAAGATGAAGTTGAAATCAACATGGGAAGTAGAGGGGTTGAACTTGAGGACTATGTCGAGAACTCGGCATGGGAACTCACCGGAACTTCTGCAAGAGAGACAAATACCGGAGAAGCGGCGGTTTTCTTCACTTTGAAATTGAAACGTAAATCCGGATTTTATATTTTGAACGTAATCATGCCGGTTGTTTTACTATCTATTTTGAGCGTATTTACATTCGTTTTGCCAATCACATCTGGTGAGAGAGCAAGCTACGCCGTGACGGTGTTCCTGTCGCTGGCTGTGTTCTTAACAATTATCGCGGCCGAGTTGCCAAAGAATTCCGAAAACACATCAGTCCTCGCGGTTTACCTCATGCTCATCAGCAGCTGGAGTACACTGATTGTAGTGTTATGCTTGATCGAATCTAGAATTGCTATCCGTGATGAAAAAGAATGTGCCAATCAATGTTTTCTTTATGGCCTTTGTAAAAGCGACTGATTTCTTCACTTGTAAAAAAGGTGCAAGAAGTCTGTCCGCCCAAAAGAATTTACATCAAAGTCAGAGCTAAAAGAGGTGTTAGAGGAAAATGGCAATGTCATAACCTGGACTCGAGTCGTGGATTCTATGGACTTGTTTCTTTTGGCTTTCTCTACTATTCACGTTTCTGTGTACAGTTATCCTGGATCTATTGCAGTAAATGGACCGAGTTAATAACATAACATGGTACCACATTTACCTATGCCTTATTTTGCTAATCCCTTGATATTAGTTGCCATATCTTTGCATATCCTTTACCTGTTTCGGATGTTTGGTCACTCTTACTTTACTCATTGTGTGCGTGACATCTATGTGAGTCCATTGTTTGATTGATAATTTACCTTATTGTATTAAAAGCATCACAACAGAAGATTTTCTTTTATTTGACACAATTGTAATTTAATGAAAATTTGGACTTTGTAAGTAAGAATATTGACAAAAAACTTATAAAGTAACCGAGGCACACATTAGGCGCTTTTGGTACCACATAAATTACGCACTGGATGTTTATACATAGCATCAAGTCTGTTAAAAACAGTAAAGGGACATGGTGATGAATATATCTATGTACAATTGGTAATATCTTTATAACATAATTATACCGTGTAGATGAATGCATGTTTTAGTTAATGTTTTACAGTAAACACCGGTTTATTAATGAATTTACATTTCTTGAGGCGTGCAGATCTAAATTGATTAAGTTTCGTTTAACATTGACAAGTTCAAATGACAGATTATTTTGTTCGATAGCACTTATTTTTCAACCTTTTTATAAATTTTAATTTTCTTTCAGCATACTTTAAGATAACGCAGCAGGTTAGCGACGTGAAATCGAATATAAACATTATTAAGATAGATGTTTAAACAAGCCTACTGCCAAAAAAAAAAAGGAGAGAAACTACATTTCATTGGGTTATTGTGTATCCCAATATTGTTAATAACGCCGTAATAGATGATCTTAAGAAAAGAATTCAAAAGATTTGATCTATTGAGATTGCTTTAAAACGAGAAACGCAAATTGTATGAATACGCCTGGTACATAATTACCTTTAAGTTCTTTTGTTGTAAAAATCCATTTTTTATGTTATTGAAAATATAAGTGATACGTCAAGACTTTAAGAGTGTCATATAGGTTTCTTTAAAAAAAAATTGACATTTTACTTACTTGTATACTTCAATTGTTAAAGTGACCTTCAGATTTTCTAAAGGTTAAATATGTTTTTTTTTAAATAAATCGTTTCATGTAATAATCAAATCAAAAGAATTAAGCACAGACACTTGGGGTTTGGAGCTCAAAACGCCTTTAAAATCCAAATAAAATGCATATTTGTCAATCCCAGCACATGTACTGATCATATATATCAAAAAATCTTAATATATGCCGTTTTGAAAAAAAATCATATTTCAACAACTATAATAATACACAAGATAAAAATGTTCGCCGGAAAAAATCCGCACCCCTACCGTCATAATCACCATGTATTTTTATTCCATTTCCAATATTTTCACATAATCCTTTGGTCCATCGACACAGAAGATATAATTCTTCACGATGATGGTCAATTTTAAACTTCAACGGTAATATAAACAACGCAACAGCCGAAATAAACATCAATATTATCGCCGTTTTTTTTCAACGACAAAATCTTTCGATAAATTCAATGGACCAGACGGCTATGAACGAAGCTATCCGATTATGTGGTTCCCAAACTTAAAAGCGCTGCGCATTTTGCACACGGCAAAGCTGGGGCCACATAATCGGATAGCTTCGTTCATAGCCGTCTGGTCCATTGAATTTATCGAAAGATTTTGTCGTTGAAAAAAAACGGCGATAATATTGATGTTTATTTCGGCTGTTGCGTTGTTTATATTACCGTTGAAGTTTAAAATTGACCATCATCGTGAAGAATTATATCTTCTGTGTCGATGGACCAAAGCATTATGTGAAAATATTGGAAATGGAATAAAATACATGGTGATTATGACGGTAGGGGTGCGGATTTTTTCCGGCGAACATTTTTATCTTGTGTATTATTATAGTTGTTGAAATATGATTTTTTTTCAAAACGGCATATATTAAGATTTTTTGATATATATGATCAGTACATGTGCTGGGATTGACAAATATGCATTTTATTTGGATTTTAAAGGCGTTTTGAGCTCCAAACCCCAAGTATCTGTGGAATTAAGATGGAAAATGAAATTTGCCGACGATAAAATACATAAACAATAAGGAAACCCCTCGATACCTCCAATCAACCGACCCTCTTTCTGTATTTAGAAACAAACGCAACTGACGCTTTAAAAATAGCTTTCGGGAAGCCTCCAAATATATGATGCATTTTTCCAAGAAATATTACTGAAATACTTTGTTTGAAAAAAATATTACTGAAATACTTTGTTTGAAACAACACAGAATTGTTTTTCAAACAGAAAATAAAAGCTGAAGGTCGCTTTAACTTTTACTTTATATAATAACGTATAATTATAGCACTGAAGATTTCCAATACAGCGTTGCAAATTAAAAGTATAGATAAGTGGTCTTAAAATTCTATAGAACAAAGCTTGAGTAACTATTTAGTTCAGATTTAGGCCAAAACTTGATTCACCTAATTATTTATCGTGGTTACTTTTTATGGACTTTCACTCTCCGAGTTGCGTGATTTACAATTAACAAAACCAATATGGTTTAAGAGGGTTTTTATTTCAAATTTGAGCAATCTATAATTCAATAAACAATTACCTTTATATTATTTTTAGCAGATGATACACTACAGAAGTGTTGGTGCAAGACAGACAGAACAACTGTTGTCATTAGGACATTTATAATAGCTGATAGTTTAATATCAATCTATGTGTTGGCTTTTTTATTCATTTAGTCAGTCAGGGTCAATCATAAAATATCTACTCTACACTATTCAAACATAGACTGAAATGTCAATTTATAAATATTTTTTTAGGATCGAAAGTTACCATGACGATTCTTCACATTATTTTTGAAGTTTTTTCAGTTGTTGTTTTTTTACAGTACATATCTGATCAAATTAACTACATGTATTATAAATCAATAATGTTTATTTATCGAAGTGAAAAAATCATTTAACCACGGATTTATATTACAAGGATCGGACACTTTCGTTTAGCTTAAAGTCCCGTCGCGCGCATGCGTGGAATCGGATAAAGGTGGACAGAATGAGATGGCGGAACGCTCGGAGTGTGAAATATGACATATTTTCACAAGAGTATGTGGTGTTATTGCAGCTTTGTGAAAAATTATATACATACGAATGTATTGATACAGTATTATTTTGTGCAGCTAAAGTATTAATATATGAAAATATGCCGATAGAACGCTGCGACTCTTAGTTAAAAAGCACCTAATTTAAAAAATATTCGCCTATTGTTTAGGCATACTCTCTACACTTTGACGCCCTTTTACGTCAAACATAAATTATTACCGCGATTCAGATTAAGATAATTATTTTTTACATGGTTTAATGGTGGCATTGCAAAAAAATGTTTCTTGATTGCTAAAATACTTTTAAAGAAATTCATGTTGGAAATGTGTCTTTATTTCTGTGAATTATTTCCAAATGATTTGTACATTTTTTATTTGATATACCTGTATATCAGTATAAATATAGTAACTAATCTACTAATTAATGTATTAAATATATTTACAGATCATTCTAGACATTCGTTCATATATAAATGAATTCATTAGATTGGCAAGGAAGAAAATTTGATTGGCATACAGAACAGCTGTTTTTTTATATATATATTTTTTTGAAACGGATTTTTTTTCATAGTTAACCTTCACAATTCACGTCAAATCATTTACTTGTCATATGTTTATTTTCATTATTTTTCAAAGAAAGGACTATTCAAATTAAGTTGTTTATTTTCAATTTCATTTATAATCTTTAATTAAGAAAATAGATTTCCATTGTATTTATATATATCCGCTTCAGAATCATTTTCTTACCACACATGCCATGGACTGTAGTTAAAGACCGCGCACATACAACATTTACATTCAAATTCTATTTTCTTCTTTTTTTATTAATTTTGAAATTGAATTTATTATGTTACCTTAATAATAAATTTCAAATACCTGCTTTTTATATAAAAAATGTAAATTTACCGCGGATTTCGTCAAGTTAATTTCTTAATCGTCGTTGCGGACAGATAGTCTGTATCTTTAAAAAATAAATTAGATATTTGAATTAAACAAGCATTTTCCTTGAAAATAAACTTTAAATTTCAAAAATCGGATAATAAATGGAAAAGCTATATGGTATTTTGTAAAGAAGGTATCCGTTGCGAACGGGCATTTTCGCTTAGCGCCGATAAATTATCGATCGATGTACCTTTATCGGGTGCACGACAAGATATTTAAGCATTTATATAGGGTTAACTGGGAGTGTCCGATCCCTGTAATATAAATCCGTGATTTAACTTATCCGTGTGATAGTTGTTTCTTTATATCATATTATGGCTAAAGACAATTTGATTTGATATATTGTTTCATTATTCAACACTACACGGTGCATATCCATATCGGTACCCTCTTTGCGAAATCTGCTGAAACGGTACCCTCTCTGAACATGCACAGGTCATTCTCTGCTAAAAACAAACCAGCGATGGATACCAATCCAGTAAAATTCCATTGTAATAAGGAAAGGAGGTATGTCACGTAGAAAAGATGTATACCACGGAACAATAGGGTGTTTTATTTATGTGCTGATTTGTCATGTGCCCGATTTTCATGTACTGCAACTTCACAATAAGCTACAAAAAATCGACATGTCTTGCTTCGCCCATCACCTCGACCTATTTTTCGGGCTGAAATGAACCTATGGCTTGATTATATATGCATCATACATATTTAATATGTTCATATACATATCATCTTCGGACAAATGGCAGTATATTGTCAAAAATAAATGTAAAATTCATAAAAACACCCTACTTTCGGTTTTGCAGCGGCACGGGCTCCCTCTTTTCATTTGAATTTTTATATCACAGGTACCCTCTCATTATTGAACACATAGGAACCCTCAAAGCACGACATATACTTTTATTTGCGTTAATCGTTAAGTGTGTATGTAATACTTTTTACTTTTATGTAAATATTACATACTTAACGATTAACGCAAATAAAAGCATATGTCGTGCTTTGAGGGTACCCATGTGTTAAAAAATGAGAGGGTACCTGTGATATAAAATTCAAATGAAGAGAGGTAGCCCGTGCCGCTGCAAAACCGAAAGTAGGGTGTGTTTTTATGAATTTTACATTTATTTTTTGACAATATACTGCCATTTGTCCGAAGATGATATGTATATGAATATATTAAATATGTATGATGCATATATAATCAAAGCCATAGGTTCATTTCAGCCCGAAAAATATGTCGAGGTGATGGGCGAAGCAAGACATGTCGATTTTTTGTAGCTTATTGTGAAGTTGCAGTACATGAAAATCGGGCACATGACAAATCAGCACATAAATAAAACATCCTAGTGTTCCGTGGTATACATCTTTTCTACGTGACATACCTCCTTTCCTTATTACAATGAAATTTTACTGGATTGGTGTCCATCGCTGGTTTATTTTTAGCAGAGAATGACCTGTGCATGTTCAGAGAGGGTACCGTTTCAGCAGATTTCGCAAAGAGGGTACCGATATGGATATGCATCGTGCACTAAGTATTTTGAAGTGAAAAAACTAGTGCAAAACAAACAGCAACAGATAAAAAAGAAAAAAACATGACAAGATTTCCCTGCTTAGCACTGCATTAACGAGAGAAAGTCTCAGTTGTAGATAACGGTACGATTCGAATAATTAATTAAATAGTGATCTTTCGTATTTTGTCGGAACGTTTCTGTAATCATCGCCAG